CAGGGAATGTGCTAAATAACACTTTGAAAGTCATTTTACCTGGTTTGGTTTACCTGGTCATTTTACCAAGTGAGATTTTGGCTGTGAAGTCATGGAATGTGATGAAGAATGTGATGGAGAACACTTTCAAAGTGATTTGACTTAGTTTTGAATAATTACTTTGAAGTACGACAAAAATCATGTTTGATATGTATATCAGTGATTTTTGGAATTTTTATAATGTGATGTCTTTTGACTGCAAGTTAGTACCAGTGTGATTCTTTCTGACAAGGCAGGGAATGTGCTAATTAACACTTTGAAAGTTATTTGACCTAGATTTTATTCATTACTGGGAAGTAATAGCAAAATCCTGTTTTGTGCATATATAAGAAAAAAGCAGCTTATTTCTGGATTTTTACCAGAAAGTGTGATATCTTTTGACTGAAGGTGAACGCAAGTGAAACATTGGTTGTGAAGTTATGGAATGTGATTTGGTACACTTCCAAAGTGATTTGAACAAGTTTTGAATCATTCCTTTGAAGTTACACAAAAATCCTGTTTGTATATCTCAGTGATTTTTGGAATTTTGATAGTGTGATATCTTTTGACTGCAAGTGAGTGCAGCCAAGATTTTGGTGGTGAAGTCTTGGAATGTGATGTAGAACCTTTATAAAGTGATTTGACCTAGTCTTGAATAATTACTTTGAATGAGCACAAAAATCCTTTCATGTATATCTAATTGATTTTTGGAATTTTGATAGTGTGATATCTTTTGACTGCAATTTATTACTAGTGTTCCTTGTTTCTGACAAGGAAGGGAATTTTTTAAATAACACTTTGAAAGTCATTTTACCTTCATTATGGTTGTGAAGTCATAGGAGATTTTTAATCATTACTTTAATATAACAAGAAAATCCATTTGTCTCTATATCTCAGTGATTTTTGGAATTTTGATAACTTACCGTGAAGTTAAAGCAACACTATCACAATTACAAAAATTTGCTCTCACTGAGATATACATAAAACAGGATTCTTGTGTTACATCAAAGTAATGATTTAAAACTAAGTAAAACTGCTTAATAACTTTTAAACACGTTCCCTGCCTTTTCACTGGTCACTTGTAGTCAAAAGATATCACACTTTCCACCATAAATCCAGAAATAAGCAGTTTAGATACGCACAAAACCGGATTTTCCATTAGCTTGTTACGATCTGTGTGCGGACTTCAAAGACACCCAAAGCCGGTCATTCAGTTTAAGCAGAGTTTATTGAGGGATAATCCGGAAGCGTTGTCAAGGAAGTCCGGGTCCGGTAACGAGAAGACCAAGTACCTGGTACCGTTGCATGATTTATTTGTCTTCTCGTTACCCGACCCAGTCCGGTCCTGAGTCCAGATCCGGGCGAGGCAGTCCAAGCGGGTTAGGCAGGTTCTCGTAATCACAGGCAGGCAGGGTCGGAAACACGGGCAGGCAGTCAGGGTCAAGAGGCTGGCGGAGCAGGACTCAGGCAGGTGGACAAATCAGACAGGGGTCAGGCAGGCTCGGGAATCAGAGGAAGAGACAGGTCGGGTAACAGGCAGGCTGACAGATAATTAGGAATAATGCTGTAAGTTCTCACCGGGTTGGCTCGAGACGTTCTGGCACTGGAGACTGGCTGAGACGGAGCTTAAGTGCAGGTGGAAACAATGAAGGTTGATTGCGGGGTGTGGATGCTAATCAGGAGTGCAGACGGTGGGTGAAGCCAGCTCCAGTGCCAGGAACGTTGCATAACTTTAAAGTAAAGAATACAACCTTGGTAGAATTACTTTCAAAGTGTTATTTAACACATTCCCTGCCTTGTCAGACAAAATGACAAGGCAGTCACTTCCAGTCGAAATCCAGAAATAAGCAGCTTTCGCTTAGAAATGCACAAAACAGGATTCCGTTATAACTTCACAGTAGTGAATACAACCTAGGTAAAATTACTTTATTTAACAAATTCTCTGCCTTGTCAGAAAGAATCACACTGGTTCTAACTTGCAGTCAAAAGATATCATAACTAGATATCATATAACTAGGTACAACTTCTTTGTAAGTGTTATATAACACATTCCCTGCCTTGTCAGACAAAATCTCACTGGTACAGACTTTCAGTCAAAAGATTTCCTGTAAAAATCCAGAAATATAGCAGCTTTCGCTTAGATATGCACAAACCAGGATTCAGCAACTTCACAGAAGTAGGTAAAATGATTTCCAAAGTATTATGTAACAAATTCCCTGCTTGTCATAAAGGGTCACACTGGTAATATCTTGCAGTCAAAAGATGACAGAGACAAAAAGCAACTCGCTTGTACATAGCCTTGTACAAAGGAAGACACAAACGTGGCTTGTAGCAAGAGAGGGGTCAACTTCAACTATTTAGTACATCTAAATAATTTAACCACATTTTCACATTGTCATTGTCCACTGGACTCCATAGTTTTTCAGGGAGAGAAAGATGCTGGCTAAGCTGAAATCCATCATGGGCAACACCTCTGGGTCCAAGGGTCCTTGAGCAGCTTCTTCTGCTACAGGCTGTTACACCCACAATGTAAGGAGAGGTACTGCAGGTCCAACAATTGTTAGGATTACAACACCTGTACTGCCGTTGTGTTGTAGCCTCATTGGACACTCAGTAACTGTATTATTTTGTTAACTCCCCTTGGAAATACCTTCACTTATACCTCAACTAGGCTGGTGTTTTTCCCTCTATGGCCTTGTGTATTGTTTGTACTGCTGCTGTAATGTGTGAATTCCTCACTGTGGGATCAATAAAGTCCTCTAATAGTATCAGTTTGAAAAGTTTCATTTTACTTAACTTAAGTGTTCCTTTATAACAAAATATAAATTAACATCAGGTTGATAAGAACTTTGCAGAAGTATTCCTGTCTAATTAAAGTGGTGGGGCAGTCTGCATATACAGTCTGGAGGAAGAACAGTGTTGCTGGTTTGTGACTCTTCCACTACACTTATTTTACAGACATTCTTTTTCTTACTGGAGTCCCAGTGCCAGCTGTGAACTGTAACGCATTCCCTATTTTAAAAATGCAAGTTATCCACATCTATCTATGAATTTCAGACAACTATTTAAATTGATAAAGCCAGTTTAATGAAGAACAGAGTGAAAACTTTGCAACACATGATCACTGATTATCCGACAAAGGAAAAAGTCAATTGGAGATATTCTTAATGTAAGTCTTAACAAAAAAGTTTGCTTGAAAATTTGGAAAACTAGACATTAAACACATTTAAACACATGCCCTTCTAAGCGATGGCAGTCCTTGATCAGATGCTAAAGCCAAGATTCCTCATGATTACTATTTAAAAACATGTATTTCTCATTTTACATTATGTTTGTTATTTTAACTAAGTCTTCATTTGAATCAAGTTGATTAAATAAAGCTTATACTTAGTTCTTCACTAAGAAATTTTTTTAGAGTCCACTGCATCATTGAACAAAATATTTAAATGTTTTAATGTTATCCCATGGAGGACAAACCCAAATCAATACGTCTAGTACAAAAGAAGATGCCTTCTTGATTAAGTTTCCATTGAAGTATCCTCTTCCCTATTGTCCCGAGTCTGTGAACTTCAGAATCAATGAATTGAATACGTAGTTGTTTATTTTCACCATTTAGTACAAAAAAGGTGAAGTGATTAAAGAATATTTTTCCAACAAGCCAACTGATTTTGCCAAACATTTATATGACAAGCTATGCTTTCAACAAACTAGATGTAAAAAATTCAAAATTATTTTCCCTTTATTAGCCCCTATTTGTCCCTTACCAGATGTGCAGCAGCTGTGTAATTAACCCATTGGTATGTGATATATCTCCCATGTACATAAAAGTTGGTAAAACTATATGTATACAAAAATCAACAATTGCATCAGAACACCTTGCTAGCCAATTAATGAATTACTTTTGGTCATGTGAACCATCTTATTGAGTTTGTTACATACAGCAACGTACGTGAAGCACAGAGATTGGAGAGGAATAAAAGAAAGTTGCGCCATTTTAGATGAGTCCAGTCAAGGTAAGTTTAAGTTTGTAATAGTTGCATGTAGAGAGGAATATCTCTTTGTATTTTAAGGTAAAGTGCACTTTTAAAGATGGATGGACGCAGAGATTCACTATTAATTGAACTTCCAGTCAATTCATAGTTTTGAATGTTCCCATATTTGATGTCAGAGGGCAATAATGAGCCTTCAACAAAACAGGTAAATTGGTTATAAATGTTTTCAATAATACCCATCGAATTTTTTAGAATATAATCCCAGATCTTTGACATTCTAATGCTGAACTATATCTTTAAGTTATGACAAAAATTATATTTATATATTCATCAACCACTCATGTGATTCTGCCCCTGGACATGGATCTCCATCCTAATATCATTATATGTCATTATCAAAAAATATTTGTGTTTTAAATCCCACCATTTTGACTGTGAATATATCTTGTCTACAAGTTAACAGAAAAACAAAAATAATTTCCCTTCTTTGTTTGACTGGTGCTTTAATACACCCCCCAAATTCCAGCTTTTTTAAAAAAAAAATACTACAAATAAAGCTAAAACTAAAAACTAAAGTGAGAGTTTCCTCTGAGCAGGTAATATCCAGTCTCCCTCATTTACTTTGCAGGGAAAGAGAGAAGGCAGGCTGTTAGTTGACTTGACCTGAATCATCAGATATGACTTGCTGACCCCCTGTAGACACACAAACACACACAGAATCATTAAGTGCCTCCGAACATACACCACACACCCTATTCATATTACTTAATTTGAATAACTTACTTGATCTGATTTTGATCGGCCAGATGAGAATGGAGCAAAGAGCCAAAGCTGCAACAATGGCCACTCCTCCCGTTACTGCAACCATGATGTAATGATAGAACCATACACAAGCAGGACAGCACGCCACAGTGCTGTTAAAACACAGACACACAATGTGGATGTTGTTAAAGGTTTGATCATAAAAATTTTTCTCTGTTTTATGTTTATGTTTATGTTTCAGTTTATGCTTTTATCCAAAGCGACTTACAGAGTAGACACAATATTACATTTATCATCACCATGACAATAAGCTCTACAGAGGAGAAACACTGATAAGAGTCAGTGGTGGTTTCATCTTCTGTAGATATATAAATGTAAGTATTGTGACTGCCTTAATATAGCCAATATTCAAACAAAAAAAACTCCAACTACTATGTCCTAGACAAGATGGATAACAGTGGTTAGAACCATGGTGTAGGGATGTATTGTGATATACAAACATGTGTGTGTACACTAACTGGCAAGGATGCAGGGCCTGAATCATCATCACAGCAACTCCATTCGCCAACTTGTCAGTGAAACTCATGGCTCCATATACGAAGGCTCCACTTTGCTGTAGAAAAAACATTATGTATAAAATGAAAGGACAACTTCCTCCTCATTTCGTACTCACTAGCTGACTCACCCACCGTCTGATCTGCGATAAGCTCAGCTGTCATGGCAAGTGATATGACCAGGATGGTGGCAGACCCTGCTCCCAACAGTACAGCTGCCCCATACACCTGCTGCCCCATCTGGATGTCCAGAAGCACCCAGTATGAAAAGGCCATAATCAGCACAAGGCCCACAAAGTAGGTAAGCTGTAGAAATCAAATAGGAATACACAAACTCTAGAGTAAATCAACACAGAGACTTCTTTAGATTTTCTTTTTTTCAATCCATGTGGATAAGAATAAAAGATACTAATTTAATGTTAAGCGTAGTTACAACCCAATGAGGTCAGTGCTACATGAAAGTGCTAAGACAACTTTTTACCCTTCTTTTTTTTAACTCAGACTGGACATTCAGTATTTCCCTTTAGTAGAGGTTTTGCTAAACCATCCATCCATCCATTGTCCTCCGCTTATCCGGGGTCGGGTCGCGGGGGCAGCAGCCGGAGCAGGGAGACCCAGACTTCCCTCTCCCCGGCCACTTCAGCCAGCTCCTCCGGGGGGATCCCGAGGCGTTCCCAAGCCAGCCGGGACACATAGTCCCTCCAGCGGGTCCTGGGTCTTCCTCTGGGCCTTCTCCCGCTGGGACGAGCCCGGAACACCTCCCCAGGGAGGCGACCAGGAGGCATCCTGATCAGATGCCCGAGCCACCTCAACTGGCTCCTCTCCACGTGGAGGAGCAGCGGCTCTACTCCGAGCCCCTCCCGGATGGCCGAGCTTCTCACCCTATCTCTAAGGGAGAGCCCAGCCACCCTGCGGAGGAAACTCATTTCGGCCGCTTGTATCCGCGATCTCATTCTTTCGGTCACTACCCAAAGTTCGTGGCCATAGACGAGGGTGGGAACGTAGATCGACCGATAAATTGAGAGCTTCGCCTTTAGGCTCAGCTCTCTCTTCATCACGACAGACCGGTACAGCGCCCGCATTACTGCAGACGCCGCACCGATCCGCCTATCGATCTCACGCTCCCTACCCACGTTCGCGAACAAGACCCCGAGGTACTTGAACTCCTCCACTTGGGGAAGGATGTCCGCTCCGACCCGGAGAAAGCACTCTACCCTTTTCCGGTGAGAGACCATGGTCTCGGACTTGGAGGCGCTGATCCTCATCCCAGCCGCTTCGCACTCGGCTGCGAACCGCTCCAGTGAGAGCTGTAGGTCCCGACTTGATGAAGCCAACAGGACCACATCATCTGCAAAAAGCAGAGATGCGATCCTAAGGCCAACAAGACTGACACCCTCAACACCTCGGCTGCGCCTAGAAATCCTGTCCATAAAAGTTATGAACAGGACCGGAGACATAGGGCAACCTTGGCGGAGTCCAACTCCCACCGGAAACGAGTCCGACTTACTACTGGCAATGCGAACCAGACTCTGACTCCGGTCGTACAGGGACCGAACAGCCCGTAACAAAGGGCCAGGTACCCCATACTCCCGGAGCACCCCCCACAGGATACCCCGAGGGACACGGTCGAACGCCTTCTCCAAGTCCACAAAACACACGTGGACTGGTTGAGCGAACTCCCATGCACCCTCCAGGACCCCGCTGAGGGTATAGAGCTGGTCCAGCGTTCCACGGCCAGGACGAAAACCACCCTGCTCCTCCTCGGTCCGAGGCTCGACTATCCGACGGACCCTCCTCTCCAGAACCGCTGAATAGACCTTCCCAGGGAGGCTTAAGAGTGTGATCCCCCTGTAGTTGGAACACACCCTTCGGTCCCCCTTTTTAAATAGGGGGACCACCACCCCAGTCTGCCAATCCAGCGGAACTGCCCCTGATGTCCACGCGATGATGCAGAGTCACGTTAGCCAACGCAGCCCCACAACATCCAAAGCCTTGAGGAACTCCGGCTGAATCTCATCCACCCCCGGGGCCTTGCCACCGCGGAGCTTTTTGACTACCTCGGTGACTTCAGACCCTCACAACACGTTTGGGCCTCCCGGGTCTCACCGGCATCCTCCCCCACTATCGGAGCCAACTCACCACCAGGTAGTGGTCAGTGGAAAGCTCCGCCCCCCTCTTGACCCGAGTGTCCAAAACATGCGGCCGCAGATCAGCTGAAACGACAACAAAGTCGATCATTGAGCTGTGGCCTAGAGTGTCCTGGTGCCAAGTGCACATATGGACACTCTTATGTTTGAACATGGTGTTCGTTATGGACAATCCATGCCGAGCACAGAAGTCCAAAAACAGAACACCACTCGGGTTCCAGCTGGGGGGGCCATTCCTCCCAACCACGTCCCTCCAGGTCTCACTGTCGTTGCCCACGTGGTTTTGCTAAACCCAAAATTATTATTTAAATTATTAATTTTCCAATGAAATGACTCAACTATTTAACAAATCGTTTGTATATACAGTACAGACCAAAGTTTGGACACACCTTCTCATTCAAAGAGTTTTCTTCATTTTCATGACTATCAAAATTGTAGATTCACACTGAAAGCCTCAAAACTATGAATTAACACATGTGGAATTATATTCTTAACAAAAAAGTGTGAAACAACTGAAAATATGTCTTATATTCTAGGTTCTTCAAAGTAGTCACCTTTTGCTGTGATTACTGCTTTGCACACGCTCTGCATTTTATTGATGTTTTTTAATAGGTAATCACCTGAAATGGTTTTCACTTCACAGGTGTCCCCTGTCAGGTTTAATAAGTGGGATTTCTTGCCTCATAAATGGGGTTGGGACCATCAGCTGTGTATTCACCTGCAGAAGTCAGGTGAATACACAGCTGATAGTCTTACTGAATAGACTGTTAGAATTTGTATTATGGCAAGAAAAAAGCAGCTAAGTAAAGAGAAATAAGTGGCCATCATTACTTTAAGAAATGAAGGTCAGTCAGTCCGAAAAATTGGAAAAACTTTGAAAGTCGCAAAAACATCAAGCACTACAAAGAAACTGGCTCACATGAGCCCAGGAAAGGAAGACCAAGAGTCACTTCTGCTGCAGAGGATAAGTTAATCCGAGTCACCAGCCTCAGAAATCGCAGGTTAACAGCACCTCAGATTAGAGACCAGGTCAATCCCACACAGAGTTCTAGCAGCAAACACATCTCTAGAACAACAGTTAAGAGAAGACTGTGTGAACCAGGCCTCCATGTTAAAATAGCTGCTAGGAAACCACTGCTAAGGACAGGCAACAAGCATAAGAGCCTTGCTTGGGCTAAAGAACAGAAGGAATGAATATTAGAGCAGTGGAAATCTGTGCTTTGGTCTGATGAGTCCAAATTTAAGATCCTTGGTTCCAACCATTGTGTCTTTGTGCGACACAGAAAAGGTGAACGGATGAACTCTACATGCCTGGTTCCCACCGTGAAGCATGGAGGAGGAGGTGTGATGGTGTGGGGGTGATTTGTTGGTTACACTGTTGGGAATTCATTCAAAATTTAAGGCATACTGAACCAGCATGGCCACCACAGCATCTTGCAGCGGCATGCTATTCCATCCGGTTTGCGTTCAGTTGGACCATAATTTATTTTTAAACTTTACAATGACCCCAAACACACCTCCAGGCTGTGTAAGGGCTATTTGACAATGAAGGAGAATGATAGGGTGCTGCACCAGATGACCTGGCCTCCACAATCACCGGAACTGAACCCAATCGAGATGTTTTGGGGTGAGCTGAACCGCAGAGTGAAGGCAAAAGGACCAACAAGTGCTAAACATCTCTGGGAACTCCTTCAAGACTGTTGGAAGACCATTTCAGGTGACTACCTCTTGAAGCTCATCAAGAAAATGCCAAGAGTGTGCTAAGCAGTAATCAAAGCAAAAGGTGGCTACTTTGAAGAACCTAGAATATAAGACACATTTTCAGTTGTTCTTTTCAAGTAATAATGTCCCAATAATTCCCAATGTGTTAATTCATAGTCTTAATGCATTCAGTGTGAATCTACAATTTTCATAGTCATGAAAATAAAGAAAACTCTTTATAAAAGAAGGTGTGTCCAAACTTTTGGTCTGTACTGTATATATATATATATATACAAGCATACATAAATGTAAATATCAACAAAGAAAAAACAAACACAATCATTAGGTTCAACTACATTTGTGTAAACACTTCACTTACACATTTTCCGATGCGTTTACTGACTGGTTTCATGATGAATGAGGACAGGAAACCACTTAAATACATCACTAGTGGGATTGTTGCAATGAACTTCTGTTTGAGGAAAAATGGGCAAAGCAAATGATAAAGAAACAAGTGTAATGGAGGAAAATGTATATGAAAAAAAAAATAATAATTAGTTTTACCTTAGGAAGCCCAAGAGTGTTGATGAGATACATTGAGATATATGTCTGGGAGAGATTTACAATCAGTCTGGTTGACATGTACAGTAACGCCACCTAAAGATAACACAAAGCTTTCACTGAGAATGGAAGGCAAAAAAAAAAATCTGAAAACGAGATTATTTTCTGTCCCCACCAAAGTCTCTTCTGGTGAAAAGGTCAGGTTTAGTTTGATTACAGCTAAGTGACAAACCTGGTAGAAAGAAGCCTGCTGCAGCCAACATTTCCACTGCAGACGAGACAAAGTCGTGTTACATGAAGGCAGCAAAGATCTCTGTTCGTCTTCAGCCTCCTCTTCTTTTTTATCCCTTTTTCTTCCCTTTTCTCCACGAACCTCCTCATTTGCTCCAAGAGTCAGGGCTTCAGTTGTTCCAACGTGGAAGAGGATGGTAAAGAGAGTACCAATCCCCAACACAATTAACGCCAGATTCTATAATACAAAAGTACAGTTTTCCATGTTCTGACCGTTAGTTGCAGACAAAGATTTCCAAAGACATTAAAATCCAAATGAATTAACCAACATAGAAATTGCATTGTTTGGTGGTTTGATAGATATGTTCCATCCATGCATCCATTTTTCACGCCTTGTCAGGTCAGCAGCTGAAGCAGGCGAACCCAGACTTCCCTTTCCCATGGCACTTTTGCCAGCTCCTCCCCCTATCTCGAAGGGAAAGCCCAGCCACCCAGCAGAGGAAACCCATTTCGGCCGCTTGCATCCGCGATTTCGTTCTTTCGGTCACGAACCAAAGTTCATGACCACAGATGAGCGTAGGAACGTAGACCGACCGATAAATCGAGTGCTCAGTTCTCTCTTCATCATGACAGTGCCCACATTAGTGCCAATGCCGCACGGAGCCTCCTGTCGATCTACCGCTCCCAACCCCCATTCTCGAACAAGACCCAGAGGTACTTGAAGTCCTCCACTTGGGGAAGAACATCACCCCCCCGACCCCGAGGAGGCACTCTACCCTTTCCTGGTGAGATACCATGGTCTCTGACTTGGAGGCACTGATCCTCATCCCAGCTGTGAAACAACGACTTGATGAAGCCAATAGCCATCTGCGAAATGTAAATATGCATTTCGCAGATATGCAATCGTAAGGCCACCAAGGCCACCAAGACGGACACTTTCAACACCTTTGCTGCACCTAGAAATTGTGTCCATAAAAGTTATTAACAGAATCTGAGACAAAAGGCCACCTTGGCGGAGTCCAACTCTCACTGGAAATGAGTCCGACTTTCTACTGCCGATGCAAACCAAGCTCCTACTCCAGTCGTACAGGGATGAAACAGCCCGTGACAAAGGAATCACCTCGAAGCAGTGCAGAAATCTTTTTCCATGGCCTCCTCAAACTCTTTCAATGCCTGAGTTTTTTCCTCAGCAACCACCCGAGCCGCATGCCGCTTGGACTGCCAAAAAGGCCCGATAGGACTCCTTCTTCAGCCTGACAGCATCCCTCACCGCTTGTGTCCACCAGCACCATGACAGGCACTGAAAACCCTGTGACTGCAGCTCTGGGAAGCCACCTTGACAAAGGAGACGTGGAACATGGCACACTCGGACTCAATGTCCCCCACCTCCCTCGGAACGTGATCAAAGCTCTCCTGGAGGTGGGAGTTAAAGCTCCACCTAACAGGAGACTCTGCCAGGCGCTCCCAGCAGACCCTTACAATACGTTTGGGCCTCCCCAGCCTCAATGGCATCCTCACCTACCATCTGAGCCAACTCACCACTAGGTAGTGGTCAGTGGAAGGCTCCGCCCCCTTTTCACCCGGTGTCCAAAGCATGTGGCCGCAGATCAGACAAAACAACAACAAAGTCGATCATTGATCTCGACCTAGGGTGTCCTGGTGCCAGGAGCACATTAGGAGCACCATTATGCCGGACCATTAATTCATTATGGACAATCCGTGCCGAGCACAGAAAGCCAATAACAACACACCACTCTGGCTCAAGCTGGGGGGGAAATTCCTTGCAAACCACACCCCTCCAGGTCGCACTGTCATTGCCCACTTGAGCATTGAAGTCCCCCAGCAGAAGAAGGAAGTCCAGGATGGGAACCCTATGCCCCATCTAAGTACTCCAAAAAGGGTGGGTAATCTGCACTGTTGTTAGGCGCATAAGAACAGTCAGCACCTGTCCCCCACCCAAAAGCGAGAGGAGGCTAACCGCTCGTTCACTGCGGCAAACCCCAAAGTAAAAGCGCCAAGACGGGGGGCAACAAGTATGGCCACTCCCGCTCAGCGCCTCTCACCGAGGGCAACTCTAGAATAAAAGAGTGTCAAGCCCCTTTCAAGATGACTGGTTCCAGAGCCAGAGCTGTGCGTCAAGGGGAGACCGACTATATCTAGGAGGAATCTCTCCCCTCCGTCACCACCAGAGAGGGGACATTTCACGTCCCAAGAGTCAGCTTCTGCAGCCGGGGATCGGTCCGCCAGGGCTCCCATCTCTGGCCGCCACCCATATAACATTGCACCTGACCCCTTCGGCTCCTCCTACTGGTGGTGAGCCCATTCGAAGGGGGACCCATGTGGCCTCGTCGGGCTGAGCCTGGCCAGTCTCCATGGCCACCAGGTGCTCACCATCGTGCCCCACCTCTAGGCCTCACTCCAAAGTTGGGCCCCCGGTGAATCTGTGTCTGGGTGAGGAAACACTAGATCCAGATAGATATGTTGTATCTTCTTACAGATAGTATCTTTAACAAACTTTTTGCTGAACATTGTCCTGGAAATTTTTGTCTTTTGGTTCTTTGTTAAGGGTACCTGGTTGTTAATTCCTTTAGGGAGAGTAGTCTCACATGTCTGGCGACTGTGGTTTTAGCACCAGTAGGAAATGCAAAAATTTCCTTAATCCCATCAAGGATGAATCTCCCATTCCTGTGTTTATCATTGAAATTGTATGACTTGTCCTTTGTGCCATTCTCCCTCATCCCCTGCGAAGATTCTCCTTTTGATCAATCCACATGGGGGCCCCTTCCTGTTTCCTTAGAATATGCATAGCCCTGTCCTTTTGGAGATTCTCCATGGGACTTCCTTGAAGACTGAGGAGTAAATCGAATCTTTTTGTCTGTTGCTGATAGGAAACACAGTGGCCTTTTCCTTTCCTTTATCCATACTAAGTTATATAAGGGGATGTGCCTTTCCATCGGCACACACTCACTTGAGTTTACTCTGTGATCTTTGAATGCTGTTGCCTTCGAATAAAATACCTTTATTGGACAAGATCGATCTTCTCTAATTATTAAGAAACTTTTCCTCAGTCATTTTAAGAACTTTTTCCATAACATGTTAAGAATAAAGTAAATTTTCACCAGTCAAATCTTTTTGTCCGTCTCATTTTCAAACGAGTATACCGACTCAGTTCATATACTGCTGGAAAGCTGACACGTGTCATTTGACACTTGTCAAACCAGCTGCAAATTTAAAAAAAATATACAACTCATATCATGAAATCTCACAGAATTCCAGGAACAGATACAAATTCAACAATATGGTCCTGTAATGTTGGAATGCGTCCAGTTAATGTTCTTAAGTGAAACAGTTAGTACACAACAAGTCAAATAAAAACACTAAGTCTGCTGAAATAAACTTGAAATTTCTGTCGGATATTTTCCACATATTCTATATTGCAAATGCAGTGAGTATGTATGTATGTATGTATGTATGTATGTATGTATGTATGTATGTA